ATTTCGATTCACATTAGTAGGCGCAACAAACGCCAAGAGAACGGCGTGATCGAACCACTTGAAATCTTTAAGCAGCGCTTCATTTCAAGGTTAAAAGCCGAATTTGACTTTTTCAAAATGAGTAATAAATTACAGGTTTTTATCAATAAGTGGCCTATATGCGATGCGCTATGTACTGTGCATAATGACGAGCTTGCTGTTTGCTTAGAAGTACGCTTGTAGTCTGCTACAAGTTAATATCCCATTTGTATTCATATTCCTGGATCAGTCTGTTGTATTGGTAGTGTTTTCACTGGTAAGGTGGTCACAGTTGAGAAGACCCATAGGTGCTGGTGTACCCGGCTTCAAGTCAGCTTTGTGGGGTGACACACTTTATGTATATCACGTTGATTTTCACTTCAAGTTTTGGTCGGTTTCCCGATCACTACTACTAGTAGTAGTACTGTAATCATATATGAAGCAAAGATTATCTGACAAACATGAATGCATAATCGGATATTTTGATATCCTAAGGCTGGCCGTCTCGTTTCGCTGTTCTAATGTCACGTGACTAGTTCACACCATTAGGTGGCAATGATGGTTTTCACAGTGTTTGTTTTTTTGTTCTCTGCACACATTTTGCTGGTATGTGTCGCATACGACTTATTTACCACTTCCGTGTCACTGAGAATGTTCTAGAACTGTACTGTGTCTGGGTGGAATATTCTAGATTTTTTTTTAGAAAATGGTTGAATAGTTAATTGAACACTGTAGGAGGCAATAGAAGGTAATGGAACATTCTAGAAATTTGTAGTAAGTTCCAGACTCATTATGTATGCTGATGTAATGGTCTATTTATAGGCAGTGTGGGTATATATAGGGGAGTTGTTCAGCACTGGATCAGATCAGAGATCTCGTTGAATTGTATTGGAGTTTAAGTATCTAGTTATTGGAGTAGTGGAGTTTTGCCGCGTTATTGTACTTGATGTTTGCAGAGTATAATAATATCAGCATCCGGTTGAAACCACATCTGTTGACTCCGTGTTCGTATGTTATCATCGCCGCCAGGGATGTCTTTATGTTACTGTTGCCATTTTGGTATTTGAACAATCACACCTGTACTACACCAATTACGGTAATATTACGTTGCGTGTGACAGTATGGTGCTATAAAAACCAAGATTCCACTTAGCTACGTTGGGTGACCTGAGTACGCTCCGCCACGTCGTGTCACGGGTGACTGTCAAATCTCAAATAAAACATTGTTTTTTCACACACTGAACTACAACATTAAATCAGCAGTCTCAGTGCAAAACAGAAACATGTATATTATAGTATTGTCAACCAACCCATTTTTAAACACATAAATATTTTAGTCCACTAAACCAGTGTTCAAGCAGTTAACCATGGTAGTTAACAGATGTTGGTCTACAGACATAAATTACAACAGTTTACAATACAGAGCAAAAGCTCATACAATGAATAGTTTAGTGTAAACAAAAATTGATTAAAAACACATGGATTTGCTAGCTTCAGTGAAAAACGTATGTTGCTGCATTTTTATAAAGATGTAAAATGAAATATTGCCCTTTGTTGATAATGTTAGCCATGAATTACAAGTGACATTTGCTATCAGACGACTGGGTTCATATTACATCAAACATGTTTGCATTTCTTTAGGTTAATACTCTCAGCTTGTATTTTGCATTAATTACAATTGACAAGTTAGCAGTTTTGTTATCACACACATATAGAGTTTTGTAATGAAATGCAACACTTATAACAGGCCTATTTAAATTCTGTATTGTCGCGGAAACAATATTTCATGCGATATATCGCAAACTTAAACCTCAGAATAATTTATGGTAGTATATGAGTTGTAATAAAGAATAAAAAGACGCTGAGCCTCATGGGATTGTGGGTCCATGATTTTATTTCCCAATAAAGATTCATTTATTCGGCCTTGCCTTATCAGGAATTTTGCAGTAGTTGGCACGTAGCATGATTATTGAAGCTGAACGGTCGTGTTGGAGATATACTTACTTTATCATATTTCATTGTGGTGAGGAAAAATGACGACTTCTAGATACAGCGCCCCTATAGGCGTGAATAGATTAATGATTTGTTAACACATACACACACAAACACCCCCCCCCCCCCATACACATACACGTCTTGCAGACGTTGTAACGACACACATTGGATTAACTTTTAATATGATTGAATTAACTTTTAATAAAGTTGCGATATGAATTCGATTAAAACGTTCCTGTTTAGGGTAGCGTTTTAATTGGTGTTTAATTAAACTTGATTAAAATGCAATACAATGTAGAATTGTGTGTTAATTAAGTTTAATTATATAAAAGTATAATATCCAGTGACTGAAAATAGAAATGTTTGCAAATCTAAACCTAAGCTTCGCAAACTTAAATATTAATATAAATTATGAAAATACTGAGGGTCGTCACAATGTAGGTCCTGTCATCACCAGTCCGCGTAAACTTAAATTGAAGTCGTCACAACGTTTTTACCATGCACGCACACACACACACACACACACCGAAATTCAAAGATAGTTCATAGGGATAAATAGATTAATGCACGCGTTTGTTCTCACAACCGATTTTTCATTCCGAGGCAATAAACAACTTCTAAATTACACACCATTTAATGAAAAAGCACTCACCGTTTCTCAATACTCGTATCAATCAAACACACACACAATATGTACAATAGGCACGTCACGTTAAAATGCGCACGCCATTTTAAACACGCACATCGTTTCAATATAGAATAAACACATTTGAAACACACACCATTTAAGGTAGAGATGCAGGTTCGTGGGCAATCAGAGTGAATTTTTTTTGGCTTTTTCTTACCTATACAGTCTCGGGTAAATAGTGTCAAATTTTCGAAGCATTGTCAATGTTGGAACATACTCAAAAATAAATTTTAAAATATAGGGAACCAAGGCACGCTTATGTGATTAAAAGTCCCAAAAGTTTGTTTGCGCTTTTCTTTGATTGACAAATCACTGTTGATGTAATATGCAAATGATTGCTGGCCCCAGTTACGGAGCAGCGGTGTGTGACTTCCTGTCCTGGCTCCCTGTTTACTAACTCAAGCGCAATCAGCAGACAAGAGTAATGAAACAAAACATACAGTTGTAAATGATAAGTAAACTATTTCATTCTTAAATAATTTGATTTTTCATTTATTTTCATGTAGGCGGAGGTCCCGATAGGGCGATTTAATTTCGCGCGCAAAAAAAAACACACCACAATTTCTTTTGTTTTCTTGGTGCATAGATTTCAAGCTTTTAGACATTGTGGGAGAAACTAATAAAAGGTTTCTACACATATTACTCCAACGGTATGTCAACACTGAAGTAAACATTTTTCGTTTCGCTGTAACGATCACCGTGCTGATAGAATTGCGACGCAATTGACACCCAACACTGCTGTTGCTATCATCGATAACTAACTTTTCAGTGTCAAAATACACAAACGTAAAATGTTCGGTTAATTAAAAATAAAAAAATACCCTGGAAATTATCGAAAAATCGGCAACGAGATGCTGTTTTTTAACATCACGGAAAAAGCATGCACTCTGCGATGCCATCTTGGTTACCTTAATCGGAAACCCCCTTGTCAGCTATCATGCACCAGTAGCGATGTCGCAAAGTACGTTGTATGGCCGTGATCGGCGACTTCTGGTACAAAGACACTCTATGAATGAGGTAGTTCCAGAGGCCATGGTTCGTTTAATTTCCATCGACCCGTCGCGTCTGTAGTTGAATGAAACCTGCCTCGATTTACAATAGTTCCCCTTCCAATGTGACTTCATTTCGAAATTGTTTCACCGGCGTTTGGGTGATTGAGTAGTAAAAACTGCGAATAGCCGTTGTGTAGCAAAATATTACGACCCATTTCAACCTGGTCGTCTAACTTCCCACGGTCCATTTCACTGGGAACGCGGAAACTGCGTCATACAAAGTATTTTTTAAAGGTTTGAGGGAAGGTAAATTTAGACTCAACCCATCGAATGGCGATCGCTATGTTTATATAACTGTATGAGAATCGCATCGGCTTTACGTAATCCATTGTACCCCTCCCTCAGTGGATTGATAACACGACGCCATGACAGTTTTCACGCAAGGTTGTGACTTCGCGGACGATTTTTCGTCCGTTTCCCTCGAATAGTGAATATTTTTATTCTATTTTTTGACTTGACGATTTAACATCAGCAAATTTCGGTGTATGGTGTATTTCTATGAGTTTCTTTTACACATATGAAGCGAATGATTTGTTTTATCACTTTTTTCTACAAAATGGCCATTATCTCAGTTTCATTTTTACAATTGTTTTCAATGAAATTTTCAGGGGTGATTATTCAGGTCTATCCTAAGTAAATGGCTTCGTATGGTTTCACTGTCTTCACTGGAACAGAAACAATTGAGCTGCCAAATAGCGGCTTTGTTAATTGTGAACGATTTATAAAATGTGAATGTTTCAAAGAGCACTGTTTTAACACTTTTCAATGGAAACACTAATAAATAAGCCATTATGTTCCTAGTAAACAGAAGTTTTAAATAAGTGTTTTTAAATCAAAATCAGGGTATGCATTCAAACGTTAAATAGTTTTTAGTGCACTTTCACCTAAAATGCATGATTTTAGCCCAAAATCCACACCACTTAATATGGTATCATAGTACATTATTGTAAACCATAACTCAAAAGTTTAAATAAAGCTCTTTCAAATGATATATAACTTGATGGGTAAAAAGTATATTTTACTCATGTAATTACAGTAATTAGAGACAATTAGAAATATAGTCTCCCAAGCTGCATCTCTACCTTAAACGCATATATTTTATAAAGTATGCACATCATTTTACCATGTATCTGCCAAACTATCAGTTATAGCCTGAAACCTATCGAGTTAGTGAAAACGGCGTGAATATTTAAATTAATTGGTTTATCATGTCATCAAGAACAACTACTCACGAAATAATACGCATACTTCACTTGCCATCATTTTATTGACTATAACATTCTCATTTCAGTCGCAGAAAGTCATCTGTTGTAGTTTGAGATCAATTATTACACATACAATTATAACAATACTATTTATTTGTTGGTTTTCTTTAATGATGAACTGTTATACCCTTATACTCTTATTCCAACTAAACTACTTTAACATGAAAATATAACATGAACATTTAACGGTTTTTAATTCTTTTTTTATTATGCTTTCTTTCTCCTACATTCCATTTTTCGATTCCTTTGCTGACCGTTTTGCTCATCGACCTTTCAACAAAAAACAAACAAAACAAAATATTATGCATGGTATATTATTTTTAAAATTTCAACAAGACGCTCCACAAGCGTTCAAAACAATAAAGATTAATATTAATTTATTCAAATTCAATTCATGTCTGTTGTTGTTAAACTGGACTTTTACTAAGCATTAAATATTATAACAGCCTTGACAGAACAATAGCATGTTTTTGTTATCCAAATTGTATTCACTTAATTATCGCAACAGTAAATACGACAACATGGCCATATTGTATATTTGTGATAATTACGATGAATGAGCGATAATCATATATATAAGACTTACCACTAACAGTTCTTATTCCACAGTCTGTACAATCTGTGCCATAGTCACAAACACCGATGTCATTTTCATCATCACCACCATCATCACAGTAATCATCGTGTGAGAAATCACAGGTCTCAGTACACAATTCGACTTGAAATAGGAAATCTAGGAAAGCAAAAACACTCACCCATAAACTTATGGTTGTATATTGGAGCATATTATTTAAATAGGTATACCAAGAAAACTAGTATTGTCAATGGAGAAATTATTATATTTGATTCCATATGTATTCGTTATTGCATTCTATACAGGAAAAAGTTACAGTAAATCAATTACTATTGTTGTTGTGAGATTTGTGCACGCACATTAATAATTTTTGCAACTGGCACATAAAATGATCTGTTTGTATGTGTTATACAATTGTATTTTTTTGATAATTACGATGAATGAGCAATAATCATATATTTAAGACTTACTAGTATTAGTTCTTATTCCACAGTCTGCACAATCTGTGCCGTAGTCACAATCACTGTTCTGAGATCCATCACCACCATCATCACACACACCATCATCAGTGCGATAGCAGTCGTCAGTACATATTGCCTGGCCCACTATGAAAAAAGCACACTCCCGTAAACTTAAGCGTGTATATTGGAGCATATTATTTAAATAAATATATCAAGAAACTTTTTCTGTCAGTGGAAAAATTATTATATTTGATTTCATATGTATTCGTTATTGCATTCTATACAGGAAAAGTTACAGTAGAATAATTACTATTGTTATTGTGAGATTTGTGCACTCACATTAATACGTTTTGCAACCGACAAATAGAATGATCTGTTTGTAAGTGATTGTATATTACTATGAACGAGCAATAATCATATATTCAAGACTAACCACGTCTCTCTCCACAGTCTGCACAATCTGTGCCATAGATACATAAACTGAATATAGTCGTGTCACCACCATCATCACAAAAACCATCATTATGGTACACACAGTCGTTAGTACACAATCCGGCTTGAGTTATGAAAAAAGGATACTCCGTAAACTTAAGCTTGTATATTGGAGCATATAATTTGAATAAGTATATCAAGTAAACTAGATTTGTCAATGGAAAAATTATTATATTTTACTTGCCTGTCGCTGTTCACATTATTTCTAATATCAGTAATGCATTCTAAATAACATTATAGACTGAGTTATTGAAATGTGTTTGTACTCACGTTCACGTTTTGCTTTGATTACTTCTTCGGTTTTAACCGTTTGTGCATCCTCAGGTGATTCAGCCTGAAACAATATTGATATACGTATCACAATACAAAATATAGCACAAACACACGAGTTTCTAAGAATCATTAGTCACTTACCGAGTGAATAGCACGAATAAACATCACCAACACTACGAGTAAGGAATACATTGTTTGAAGCTTTGCCATCGTGACCACTTTCATAAAGCTACGAAATCTGAACACAATCTGTCATAAATACAATAAATATAGACGAAACAAATTAGGATGTTTTAAAGTAATATATGTGGTTGAACAAAAACAATGTAAGTATGCCACATACTAATTGTCAAGGCAAATTCAACTTTCTTGGATTTGTTAACTGGTTACTATGATTTTTAAAGAAGCTTTACGTGCAAATGTGCTTGTGTTAAATCGGGTCATGTTTTCGACGGAAGAACGCATCGGGTTGCTTGAGGTTTTAACACAATAAATATAAATTTCCAGTTTGAACTTGCTTTATTGATCACGTCAAACTACGTGCTTCCTATTTCATTGTTGGCAAAGAAAAAAAGGAAAAAGAAAAAACATTTTAGAGAAGCAATAAATTTCAAGATAATCCACAACAAAAACAGCCAAGTGTCACGGAGTTTTCAGTGAATTGCATTATAGAAATCATTATTAGAAAAAAACAGCCAAGTGTCACGGAGTTTTCAGTGAATTGCATTATAGAAATCATTATTAGAAAAAAACAGCCAAGTGTCACGGAGTTTTCAGTGAATCGCATTATAGAAATTATTATTAGAAAAAAACAGCCAAGTGTCACGGAGTTTTCAGTGAATCGCATTATAGAAATCATTATTAGAAAAAAACAGCCAAGTGTCACGGAGTTTTCAGTGAATCGCATTATAGAAATCATTATTAGAAAAAAACAGCCAAGTGTCACGGAGTTTTCAGTGAATCGCATTATAGAAATCATTATTAGAAAAAAACAGCCAAGTGTCACGGAGTTTTCAGTGAATCGCATTATAGAAATCATTATTAGAAAAAAACAGCCAAGTGTCACGGAGTTTTCAGTGAATCGCATTATAGAAATCATTATTAGAAAAAAACACCAAACCACATTGTGCGCCAAATATGCTGTTCTAACTTAAATGCGATGCAATTATAGAAAGTTAACTAATTTGCAATCACAACTTTAGTCAACATTCTTGTACATTCTTTTTATCGTAACTGTCCTATCATGATATGCTTTACCTACCAATCGCCTTCTATTACTATGAAATTTACTCGCCTGTACTTGAGCTATTCAATTGACTGTCGTTAGCCTTGTACGAGTACTAGTAGCAATAAAGTGTGCTTGGTCAACCCAGCTGTTGTCTCTAGCCTGTTTATTCATACAGAACCCTAACCCACACATTGTTAGTACCGAGACCAGGATGACTACAGGATCGCAAATACAAATGCAGTCTCCCAAAAATGGTAGGGAACGCGGACAGCACATCGTGAAAAGATAACAGCAATCATCTCATCATTCGATGTCGAAAAAAAACGATGAGTTGGAGAATCTCATCATTTATAGGGAGAGGTTAGCCGAAAAAATACGACGTACTCAAGGGGCTTGATGTACATACTATAGCCAGTGATGAAGACGATGACCTAGGAGACGTGATATTGAAAGCAGATGATTATTTCGATGACATATTCACTAGAAAGTTCAAGATATAAAGATTCGTAGAGAAATGTACACTTGTCGTGGCTGACCGACACAACCAACGTGAAACCAGTCTCGCAGTTGATACTGTGAATCAAGTTCCCGCTAGTTACGACTGTTAACTTGCCGACAGTTCATCCACCTGCGTTCAACGGCGATACACGAAAATAAGTGAGTTTTAATGATTACGACGTGTACCCGAATTGGGCACACTGAAATGGAGTCGGTTAACAAAAACAAGCGAGTCCATACCAAGCGAGCAGACAGTGACTCCACATATAGGACATTACAGCATGGACAATCATATTCCGTAATGCAGAATTATATTGTACAGGTGAAACATGCACAACATGTATGAGAAAAACGTTCAATAATACCATACTTACATGCAGAGTTGGACTCGCCAACAACAGCAACTGGGGAATTGAGAGTTGGCGAAAATAAACATGTCTTTTATAA